AAGCTTCATTGAAATACATGTTGAGTGCGATTGATGCTAATCCAGAGCTCTGTGCGTATATTACCGGGTCCTGGATTACGTGGGCGGCGAAAACCGATAACCAAAGGGGAAAATCCTTCCGAATCAACGTATTTACACCGTGTCGGCTTTTGATGGAAACTTCAAACATTCGGAGATGATAGACTTATATATGACGCTTGAAATGAATTCGGTACAGCTTTAATTAGTTGGAATGTTTTTTTCTGACTGATTTCCTCTCCAGACGCAAACTTCATTTCAACCAACTAGGCGTGTGTAATTTAAAATAGAAATGAAATCCAGCCTCACGTGTTTGGGTGAGCACACTTTCCGGTTATCTACGTGACAAGTTTGATCTGGTGTGTGTGGGGGGGGGGTCACATTGTCTTCAAAGAGAATATTTGATCTATCCTGAATCGGTAATTCCAGTCGGGCTTGATATGATCAGGTTGTCACAGTGGTGGTATGATATCCGCACGTTTTCGCGTACGAGTTCAAAACTCATTTGAAAAGCGCTGCTGATAAGATCTAACAAAAGCGAAAACAGAGTCCATACCGTTTGTCCGGGTGTTTTGTGACTGATTGAACTGAAGATTCTATTCAGATATGCACTGTGAACTATCGTTAGTTCAAATTAGCATTGCATCTTCCACTCCTCTGTGTACAATTGTGCGGTAATTGCAAATTTTATGATGAATTCTTCGTGCAAATGAAGCTTAAACTAAAAATCTGAGCAGCACTAAGCTGCTGTTTTGACCGGATAAAGGTTCATCAACTGTGCGAATCCATTGACTCAACTGGGGATCGAACCCGGGATCTCACCAGTAAAATTCAAGCGTCATACTCACTCAACCCTCGGGCAGCTGATTAGAGCGTTTTTTTATTGTTAAATATACACGATATAGCACAGCCCATCATTGTTAGCCTAATGTGGACATTATACCTAGCGCAAATCAGCACCAGCCTCTTGGGTTATGACTCGGTTGGGAACGTTCACAACCTGATGACAGGTAGCATCTTTGTTTATTGTAAAACTCACCACATCTCTTAGTGAATCAAAAGTTGCTCACGCTTACCTCCGCCATTAACTGCCAACGGTATTCGTACATATGGTATTGTAATGTCATCGAACTCCCCTGAAGGCTGACGTGAGGTGGAATGATTATAGCTCGGATAACGCAACAACACAACAACACAAATATGAACCGCAATAAAATTTCTTTTGTTGATGATCATCTCTCAGTTGTGTCGACATTTCCGTCGTATCCAGAGAACTCCTGAATTGATTGTACTTTCAAGATTTGTCATTCTCCATTCGGGATCTTTGTGATTCACTTTTACTCACAACAAAAACTTGTATTTTGTGGGCTTTTAGCATATTTCACTCGAAGGTTTCTGACTATTTTAAGGAATCATTGTTTTTCAGAACTTGGGGTTATATGAGTGACTTGGCAGTCCGAATCCACATGTGCGTGTGTGGTGCATTCATCATACCTTTCAATTTTACCACTCAACGAATTGTGTGATTTGTTTGTGCATCAAATAGGAAACACAGTGAGATTGCTAGGAAGTTATTTAAATCTGTCGAACAAATCTCTGGTTACCAAAATAAACCGTGGGCTCTTGTCCACATATGGTCACGTTATGGGACGCACGATTAGCGCACATCCGAACATGTGGCCAGCTGGCTTGTATCTAACGAAAAGTAAGATAGAAAAATGTAGTTGACATCAAACATCTGATGGAAATGCTCATCATTGAATACCACAAGGGATAAAATAGTATTGAAGTCTCACATTAGGCTTTAGTATGACTTGCAATTGAGGACCGCTCACTCTCATCAGATCACACATGACTTGTTAGCTTTTCTTTCACCTTCACGCGTATTGATCGGCCCAGTTTTTGACCAATCTCTGTTCACTTCGCGTTTGTCGATTCAGCAGAATTACAGTCAGCCCGTTCTGGCTCATGGACTTGAATGTTCGTTTGAAATGGGCTAATCAGATCAGAAGGTTTCACGATATAACCAAATGAATCACGTGACATAAGTAGCGTGAGAACGGATCACACCTTTTAAATCATCATTCAGATAGGCGAGTTTATTGAGAATTGGCATCCGAGACACCTCAAAGTTTGAACAAAACCTTTTAGGCCACCTTACTAGGGGTCAAATGATTAACAAATCGACCGACAGTGACCTTTGAGTCAATTTGATAGCGAACTGTTTCATTTTGGTAGTATCACCGAAGCTTCGAATCTATTTCTTTATTACACATATTTGGGTGACGAGCAGCAGTAAGGGGTTGACTCCATGGTCGTGCTGACCTACAGTTCATTGGTGGAACACGGAAACCTTATCCCCGAGACGGGGAGTCGTGAACCCCTTTAGATGAGGTTTGGTATTGGTACCGGACAATAGAAAAATTGACTATCATCAAGAGTGGCTTAAAAATCTGCTCTTCCCAAAACATTCATACGAAACATGTTACATAATACCTAGTTGGTAAAGACAGAAAATGCACACCTATTTTTCTGTTCAAGCAAAAAATCCTAGGGGTTGGGAGGAGAACAATAAAATGTGACGAATTGTTCACTTCGTGTATCCGTGTCTGTGTTTGTATGCGTGTTGCACACCGCATTCTGAGATCTGTGCTTCTGGGGTTTTCAGTTATGTCACGACGGTCGTGTGACCCAGTTCGGAGGGCTCGGTGTTGTTGTGTGAAAATGTTTATGTGTGTGCGGGCAGCGGGAGCATGGGGGAGGAGTAGGTTCGTGAACCCAGGGGAGATGGAGAACTTGGATAAGACGTTTCTGGGCCTCGGCTATGGCCAACGTACCCATTCTAACGTATTTGGACTGGTTCGGAGGGACCTGATAAATTATGCGGAATGCTTCACGTGGGTTAACACGATGCCCAGTGAGCGACAGTCGCACTTGTCATAGATCCGGAACCACCCCGACTCAGCCAGCGTGGATAGTGTTCTTTCATGCGGATAGATAACTACCGTACGACCAGCAAACGTATCTGAACGAGTAAACAGTCAATGAAGCGGTCAACTGTGGTAGTATGGTTATCAGTGGAGAACTTTTGAAAGAGCAGCGTAGGTGAGCGGCGTTGAATGTGGCTTTTACCGCTCCATTCAGGGTTTCAGCGGCAACCTCGCCGGAAGAATAATGAAGAAGTCCTTCTTTTCCACCCTATCTGTGTGTACTTCTGGTACCTGTTCCATCATATTTCAGTTCGCAGTTTGAATCAGCTAAACAAAATGTCGTCTACATACTGACAATTCTTCTGAATATTAGTGACGGTGCCTTTCAATTGGTTATTCTCCAGCATCACCATGAAAAAGTCGGAAAAAAGGAGTCCTAGTGGTGATCCCATTGCTACTCCGTCCTTTTGTCGGTAAACCGTTCCGTTGAAAAGAAATCGAACGTTATATGTACACCGAACTAAAAGTT